GTCCTGGGATCGAGTCCCGCATCCGGCTTCCTGCTCCACAGGGAGCCTGCTTCTCTCTCTGCCCTGCCTCTCTCTATGTCTCTCATGAATAAATAAATAAAATCTTTAAAAAAAAAAATTGGTAAGTGAATTGATAAAATATCACACACAAGGGCCTCTCATCACAAACAAAAAACCTACTAGCATTAAACAACTTAATACCTGGATTTATTCTCCTCTATACACATTTCAATGACTGACATTTCTATGAAGACAATATGTTTGAAAATAAGTACTTAAGAGGGTTAACAGTTTAAAGTCTGGCCTCATCACCCAGTAAACAAGTCCCTAAATCCAATATAGGCCTATAAAAGACTCAGCTTGGGTACATAAAGGGAAAAATCTCTAAGAAGCAGGAAAATTCAGAGACAAACATGTAAATCAAAAGGTTGTATTTAGGGGCGCCGGGTGGCTCAGTCGTTAAGCGTCTGCCTTCGGCTCAGGTCATGATCCCAGGATCCTGGGATCAAGCCCCACATCGAGCTCTCTGCTCGGCGGGAAGTCTGCTTCTCCCTCTCCCACTCCCCCTGCTTATGCTCCCTCTCCCGCTGTCTCTCTCTCTCTCTCTCTCTCTCTCTGTCAAATAAATAAATAAATAAATCTTAAAAGAAAAAAAAAAGGTTGCATTTAGGACACCTGGGTGGCTCAGTTGGTTAAGCAACTGCCTTCAGCTCAGGTTGTGATTCTGGGGTCTTGGGATCGAGCCCCGCATCGGGCTCCCTGCTCAGTGGGGAGTCTGCTTCTCCCTCTCCCTGCCATTCCCCACTGCTTGTGCTCTCTCTCTCAAATAAAATCTTTAAAAACAAACAAAAGGTATTTAATTGCAACAGTTTCAAATGAGTTCTTACTATACATATGCCAGGTCCTCTTATAAGAGATTTACTCATCTCATTTAACCCTCACAACAATTTCCATTTTACAGACGCATAAATTAAGCAGAGAGAATTTAAATAACTTCTCAAGGGCGCCTGGGTGGCTCAGTTGGTTAAGCAACTGCCTTCGGCTCAGGTCATGATCCTGGAGTCCCAGGATCGAGTCCCGCCTCGGGCTTCCTGCTCAGCAGTGAGTCTGCTTCTCCCTCGGACCCTCCCCCCTCTCATGCTCTCTCTCTCTCTCTATCTCATTCTCTCTCTCAAATAAATAAATAAAATCTTTAAAAATAAATAAATAAATAAATAAATAACTTCTCAAGTCCTGGCAGAACAGGATTCAAACCTGGATGCTCTAATTCCATTATAGTTCATTTTTTCCCTACCAACTATTTCCAGTTCTGTTTCCACTGATAGTATTTAACATCTAAAATAAAGCAAATGGGGCACCTGGGTGGCTCAGTCGTTGAGTACCTGACTCTCGGTTCCGGCTCAGGTCCTGATCTCAGGGTCATGAGAGCAAGCCACAAGTTGGGCTCCGCGCACAACGCAGAATCTGCTTGAGATTCTCTCTCCCTCTCCCTCTGCCCCTCCCGCTCGTGCTCACTTGCTCTCTAAAATAAATAAATAATAAATAAATCTTTAAAAAATAATAAGATAAAATAAAGCTAATAAAGATAAAAGTAAAGGCAGAACCACTTAGTGACTTCTGGAATGACTTAGGTATTCCATGTCTAAATTATCATTCCATTACAAAACTGAGAATACTTTTTCCCCATCAGATCCCAAGTGGGACATACTGGAAGAAAGTATCATATAGAAACTACCGAACAAAAAATCCCAAACTATCATACAAACCAGGGTTGGGCAAACCATGGTCTGTGGGCCAAATTCAGCCCTCAGCCTGTTTTTATACAAGTCTCAGGCTAAGAATGATTTTTACATTTTTTAAAGGGTTGTAAAAACAAAACAACGAACTTGCGGCAACAAAGCCTAAAATATTTACTATCTGGCCCTTTACAAAAAAAAGTTTGCGGACTCCTGATCTAAGCTACTCAATAAAGAGGTTCCCTCCTTTTTCTAAAATAGCTAAATGCAAAAACCGACTTAGTGTAAGACAAACTACATCCAGGCAGATAAAATAAGTGGATTCCCTCAGCTCCAAACCAGAAAACAAAAACCCCTTAAACACACCCCCCAAAGAAAGGACAAAAACAAGTAATTCCCTCTCACCAGGAGGTGGCAGTAGACTCTTTCCCAGGCAAGGTTTTGGTTTCCCCATGGGCTCAAGTTTTTTGTGGTGACTATTAAGAAAAGCTTAATAGCCAGCTGACTTCCTGGGCCTGACAATCTGCACAAGAAATGGGAAAGGAAACTGAAGGGGTGACAAAAACCACATCTTTGGTGACCTGTTCACTCCCAACTAGAAAAATGATACCATTTCCTAAAGGCATCTGGGCTGAGTTAGAAGGCAAGTGAAAATGATCGACTTACATTATTCAGGGCTGTTCTTCATTTTTGCTTCTACAATTCTTTAAGTTACTACCCTTCAGTTAGTTGAGTAAGACAATGGATTTCTGTCTCCAAACTTCAAGAAAGATGGCATTTTAAAGATGAGAAGTTAAAAGGAAAAAATGTAATCTTTAGATGTATCTCAGCAGAGCTAAACCAGAAGTCAAAACAGGAAATTACAAGTCAGTAGAACACACGCAAAAGTTGCAGGTACTGCATGACTGCACAAGCTAACTGGCCTGACAGGCAATGGCAAACATCCACGAACGAACAGGGCCAGACCTCTTTCTTATTCCAACCCTCTACTACACGGCCCAAAACTTCATTTTTGCCCAGAAACCCATGGACACTTAATCAAGTAACATTAGTGTAAAACATGCCATGTCATGAAGCTCCTTGCTATTCATGATGACTCAGCAGCTGCTACAAAACACAGAGGTGACAATCTAAGACAGTAGACAGCAAGCAGGTAGTCTTTGAGTCCACAAAAGTTCCAGCAAGGACTAAAGACAGTTTTTATTTTCAGGTTTTAAAGACTGAACATTTTTTTGGTATACTCCTGGATACTTTGGTAGTTTCTGCCAACATTAAGTAACACTGGCAGGGTTGATCAAGAAACCCCAAACATCTTTAATCACAATCCAAAAGCTAAAATGTATTTTCTTCTTCAGTCAAATGGCTAGGACAGAAAGCTAAAAGTATTTTAGATGGGGAGAAATGATAAATTATCAAACTCTAAAGCAAAACTAAACAGCCTAAAATCATATCAGCTCTAAGACAACTGGGATCATAGGTATTATGATGTTAAGGCATCATCTCCCCAAAATTAGATTTTTATGTAAGTACATTTAAAAATAAGCTGTGATTGTAACTTTTGCCACCTGGAATATATTAGCTCCTTTCTAATCTCTGTCCAGACCATCCAATATATGTATTCAAAACATTTCACTTTTTATATAGTAACTTTCTTTTAAGAAGATCTAAGAAAGCACTCAAAGACATTTATTCTTCAGGAGAAACAGAAAGCATGTGTGTCTAACTTCCATTCTACAAAAGGATTAGGTTAAATGGCCAGGCGTGTGACCTGAATTCTAATCTTAAATTTGCCTGTAAGTACCCCCTGGTTCCTCACAAAGAAATCTGAAAACCAATCATTTTCTGTATATAACTGGGGGAAAACGTTAAGGTCAAGACTTCTAACCATTAGCAGAGAGCTTAATATTGTAAATCACCATTTTTACCATTAAAGAAAAATTTCCCCCAAATTTCTACTTTAAAAGTTTTTTTAATGATACAATACACCATCACCAAACATGTTATTCAAAAACCATCACCACCCAGAATAAAGCAATCTAGGAATTCTACCTTTAACAGGATGCAACAAGTTATCAGACCTTTTTGCTATACTTTTGTTTTTTAACAAGTTTAAGACACAGACCTCCTGCACCTTAGTCTGGTAAGTTTTGTAAGTGACTTTTATTAAAATAAATTTTTAACAGTTTCCTATTCAATTCCCATAGCAAACAAGTAAGAGGTTTTTAAAAATCGGATTTTCTCAAAATCAAATGTCTCATTTACAGTTAGGATAAACTCGTTTTCATAATTTCAAACACCCATGAGTGCACAAGGTGGTTAATTATAAGACCGCCAACATTCCTGGGTGTCAAAAGTACCTAAACTTCTAGAATACACCCCGTAATATTAAAATATTTCGTGCATGAGATCAGGAATGGAGTCCCGGTCAACTGTGCATAATAGTCAATTCTAGCCTCCAAAATAAAATGGGGTGGGGGGGAGGATAGAAGGAAGGAGGGAAGAGCCTCGCAGCGGAGAAAAGACGTAAGGGTGGAGAGGGACTTTCAAAATGCCCCAGGGCCTAGGTAACTATAACCCGGTTATGGGGGGGGGGCATCTAAGCAGATGCTCTCAGATCGAAGGACACCGGCAGGGGAGACGCGAAATTAATAAGATGAAACAAAGTTATTCCACTTTCTGTGTAACAGCAACCCATCCTCACCCCCGGTGCCTCGGAAGCAGACTGCCGGGGGACAGCCCCCTCCCCACACAAACTGAAACGCGGGAGACTAGAAAACAGCAAGCATACGAACCTCCAGCCACATCTTCCTTCTCCCTCGAGAGAACGTGAGTAATACGCTCAAACCCCCCAGTCCCCGCCAAAAACGAAAGAAATGCGCGCATCGTAGGCCTAGAATTTCCGTTCCCGCCCTACGCCCGTCTGGGGAAGCCCCTGGCCCAGAAGGCCGGGGGGGAGGCGGCCCGAACCACACGTGTGTGCCGCAAAGATGGGCCTGTCTCAGCCCACTTCCCTTCGCCACCCCAGCGGCCTGAGATCCCGCCGCCTGGCTCGGGCCTTTCCTCAGGCCCTACCGTCCGCTCCACGTGGGGCACCAGGGCCCCTCACCGCCTGTTCCCACCCGCTGAGTTCCCGACCCGCTGAGACACCACCGCGTCGGGGTCCCGTACCTGGTGCTGCTGTCGCCCCTGCTGGTAAGGCTTAATTGGCCCCTGGTGGCAACGCCGCGTCCGGATCTTGCCGCCACCGCCCCCTCCTATTCCTCCGGCTCCCGAGGCCATGGCGGAGCCTCCGCTGCTTCCCGCTTCGGCGCGGGTAAGGGGGCGGGAGAGGCAGAGGTGGCGGCCTTAGAGCCCCCCCCGCCCGGCCCCAGCCCAAAAGTCCTTCGCTGCCCACACACTGGAGCACAGGCACACCAGGAGCCGCGAGGTTTCGAGCAGGAGTGGAGAGAAAATGCGCGCTGGCAGCAGGGAAGGCGGTGGCGGTGAGAGAGGCCGAGGAGCTGGCTCCGGTCCGGCAGCCTCCCGCGGACCCCCGCCTCTGTGTATGTCACGGTCTCTATGGAGATCCCCCGCAGAGGACAGAGAGAGCCTCTCCAGGCGCTGCTTAGGCCTAACTCGATCGCCGGCTGAGGGGGATTCTTCCGTCGCCCTAAGCTGTAGCTGCCGCAGTTGAAGCCGCCGGCGCCGCCCGCCTACCCCTCCCCTCTGCGCACAGCGCCCGCCCCGCCGTCGTCGTCCCTGCAGTCGCCGCCGCTATTGCGCCTATTGCCGCTGCTAAGGCCGCCGCCGCGGTCGCGAGCCAGAACGCCGTCACTCGTCAGCGCCGGACGCGTTTGCATCATCACGCTGCGACCGAATGATAGGCCAAGAGGAAGGGAGGGCCGGTCGAGCCCGCGCTCTCGGCCGCGCGGCACGCTGGGAAGAGTAGTTCAGCGGAAGAACCCGAGTTCTCGGAAAGGAGGACGCGGAAGGAGTTCCGCGGCTCCGCGCAGAGGCACAAAGCCCGGAGCTCCATTCTTTTCACTGCACTTAGCCGTAAACTTAGACTTTGAAAGAGGCGTTCAACGTAAAAACAGTAACCTCCTTTCCCTCTACTTTCCCATCGGTTGGTAAAGCGGGCAGACAGTAAAATCAAAAACAGGAGCTAATATAGAGCAACTTTTTTTTTAAAGGTTGAAAAACAACGTCCGAGATCTTTAAGCCTAAAGATGAATTAGAAAATGTAGTTTCATTAATGTCCCATTAACGTGTAAGGGCTTTGCTGTCAAACAGGAGGGCTGGAATTCTGGCTCCATCATTCTCTAGCTTGACCTTGGATAAGTCAAAACTTTCTGAGCCTTGGCTTCTTCCTCTCTAAAATGGGAACCCTAAAATCCACGGTATAGAGCTGTTGTGATCATTTCTGTAGAGTACTTAGTACCTGTCCTGGTATACAAGAAATGCAATAAATGGTTAAAATTATTACCCACGCAGTCAGCTCACATTAGAGGTAAGTGGTAGATTACCGGTCGTAAAAGTATACATATATTTGCTCCGAATAGAAAGCATTATATTTAGGAAAGTAAGTAAGCTAGGATGAAAGACTGAAACCACAAAGAATAGAGATTGTAGGAATTGACCGTTAGAAAGGGTTTGGTGGTCACATGGTCCAGCCCTTCCATTCAACTGACAGGACAGGGGTTCAGAGAACTCAGGTGGCACCTTCAAGCCCGGCAGTCAAAGCCACGACTATAACTCAATGTTTCTTTAAGAGTTGAAACAAGTGCACAAATTAGTAGGGGGAAAAAATCTGAAAAAACAAAAAAAACACACATAAGGTTAGTGTTCCATTTGAGACAATTGATTTTAAAGCTTAATAATAGCTTTGGACTCAGACTTAATTTCAAATCTATCACTTACTAGCTGTGTAGCCTTGGGGAAGTTACTGATCCTCTTTCTAAGCTTCAGTTTCCTCATCTGCAAATAGAATGAACATTTACCTCAACAGGGTGGTGGTTCTGATGAAAGCATTAATGTATATATAACTTGTAATAACTGCTTAGAGAGAAAGCATGTAATATCCAGCTATCAGATACAAATTAACTTTAAGACGTTCATACCATCTTCACCACCAAACTGTGCAATTCAAATCACTCTAATAATCCTGTAAGTCAGATTGTGAAACCAAACTTCCAGTACCTTGGATTTTGTAGTACCTTTCAGCACCTAAGGAAACATGCTGTATCAGGCATAGGTTTATAGAGCATATGGCTTTCAGTGGTACCTCTGACAATAATCACCAAGACTATAAAAAGTTGCCAAATATGACAGACAAAGTTAATTTACTTCCTCTTCTGTTTCCTGATCCTCCTCCCTCCATGCCTGGGCTCCACCAGTAACTCCCCTCTAGACCCCTCAGGTAGGTATACATAACTCTTTCCCCTGAAGCACCTCAACCTTTTTAAATACAATTGTTTCTCTTTCACAGTTCTTAGCTAGGTATTTGCTAATAAGCTAACTCATGGGGAAGATCTGTATCTGAATCTTTTTTTTTTTTTAAGATTTTATTTATTTATTTACTTATTTGACAGAGACAGAGCAAGAGAGGGAACCCAAGCAGGGGGAGTGGGAGAGGGGAAAGCAGGCTTCCTGCTGAGCAGGGAGCCCGATGCGGGGCTCCACCCCAGAACCCTGGGATCATGACCTGAGCCAAAGGCAGATGCTTAATGACTGAGCCACGCAGGCACCCCTGTACCTGAATCTTTCATTGGGCTGCATACATAGAAGATGAAACTGTAGCCCTACCTCATTTTCCCTTTTCACCCTACCAGATTCAGAATTTCCAGCACAGGAGAGTGAACTGGCTGACTCAAAAATCATCCCTTTCTTGGTGTTTTGTTATTTGATGTGTGTGTGGGACAGCCTTCATATCCAAGCTTTGAAAGGGACATGCAAAAGAGCTGGGCCAAACTAAGGCTAACTTCAGAATAGAAAACTGGTAGGAATTGGGGCGCCTGGGTGGCTCAGTCAGTTAAGCATCTGCATTCAGCTCAGGTCATGATCCCAGGGTCCTGGGACTGAGCCCCACATTGGGCTCCCTGCTCAGCAAGGAGTCTGCTTCTCCCACTGCCACTCTCTCACTCTGTCTCTCAAAAAAAAAAAATCTTGGGGCGCCTGGGTGGCTCAGTCGGTTAAGCGACTGCATTCGGCTCAGGTCATGATCCTGGAGTCCTGGGATGGAGTCCCGCATCGGGCTCCCTGCTCAGCAGGGAGTCTGCTTCTCCCTCTGAACCTCCCCCCCTCATACTCTCTCTCTATCTCATTCTCTCTCTCAAATAAATAAAATCTTTAAAAAAAATCTTAAAAGAAAATTGGTAGGAATTGAGGAGGTATGGAAAAATCCACCTCCCCTTTAGCTGATCTCAATTATTTACCCCATTTTATAGTTATTTCTTTGAAGTAAAACAGTATTTAAGGGAAGAATAATACATTATTCCCACATAACACATTCATGTTACTGAGTTATTGGAAACGTTACCAGGCTTAACAGCAGAGAAGAAATAAAAGGCAAGAAGAAATTCACATTCAAAACTTCCTACAGCCTAATTTTACCCTGAAATAGTATCAGCCTCACTGTGGGATGAAGTAACTTCTTGTGCATAGTTTGGGATTCAAAAATAACATTGTTTCTATGCTGAAATTCAGTTTGGAGTTATAAATCACCAAACTTAAGAGTTCCTCATACATTTTTGGTACAGGACTCATTCTTCAGTTAGAAATTACTAGTAATAGAATGGATTTTAATAAAGCTATTCTGATTATAAAATTTAAACAATCTGCCCGCATTCAAACATACAAATGAACATTTCTCTAACAGATACTATATATAAATTGGAAAAAAGTATCAAATGACATGGAACAGTAATAGGGATTCTTGAAATCATTCCAGCCATAGTAGGAATTAACATGAAGGGAATAATTATTATTTAGTACTTATAATTAGTCAATTCCTATAGATGATCATTTTAATCCCTAAAAAACCAGTAAGATTCTATAGTTCACAGAATTGGATGATATCACTCATAAGTTTTGTGTTATGAACTAGCTATCTTTTTTATTCATTCTTTTCCTTATTATTAATTTCTATTCCCATCAATCTTTAGACCTCTGAGAAGTGATCTTAAGTTTTGGCTTGTTTCAATGAGTATATTTTAATAGAAACTCATTTCTCCCCTACTAGGTTTTAAACTCCATGAAGACAAGGATTTTTTTTTCTCACTTCCATATCCTGAACACATAGAACTGTGTTGATACGTAGCAGTCACTGTGTATAATACTACAGCTAATCACTACCAATGTCGACTTTCTATTTTATTGTAATAAATTATATACTGATGAATACAGCTAAACTGCTTTATATAATCCTTCTGAGTTTGTACATATTTGTTTTCTATACTGCATAACAAATTATTTCTCAAATTCATTTATTTATTCAATGATAAAGCATTCAAGAGCATCATGAACAAATCCCTATGATAATGTTATAGAGAGATTCTCGTGTAATCCTAACAATCCTTAGAGGAACTATTATCATTTTACAAATAAGGAAACTGGGCACTGAGGGAATAAAAAATATTTTTTTAATTATTTTTAACATAATGGCAGAGTCAATATTTGAATGATTTCTCCTCCTGCTAACTCCAAAGCCCATGCTTTTGCACTCACTCTGTCATTTTTTAGCCAGTTTAGAAACCTATCTACCACTTAAAACTTTTTTCTTTGAAAAGATGATTTTCCACTTTAATGGAGACTAGCATACCTTAGAAACCTCTCTCTCTCTCTGATGGCCTCTACACTAAAATGCTTAGATACTCGTTCTGTCTTACTGCATAGTGAGAATGGACATTTGCCAACTTTATGGTATGACAGCACTGGAAAGACCAGACTCAAATATCTGGCTTAGGATCCCGTGGGAATGCAAGGACCCTCATCGTGGCATGGGGACATGAGGATATGCAGTAGGATGGGAGCGAAGAATAGATCAGCTGGGCCATTTGGGTGGAAGGGATATCCTACATTAGGCTTCCAAATTCAGAGAGAAGCCACATTAGCAAGATCAACAGAATTCAAAGTATATCATAAAAAAAGAATACGTGAAGGATAAGGCGAAAAACTAACAGCTATTTATATTTAGACCAAGTAGCAGAACCTCAGACAAAACACAGGAATTCCTTCCCAATAACCAAGTTTTCAACAAAGATTAGCCCAACTTCACTTTTCTAAAACCTGGACCCAGTTTT